AGCAGGGCTCCTCTTATGTTCTTAAGATGCTGGACTAGATGGACAACTGGTCTGATCCAGCAGGGCTCCTCTTATGTTCTTAGGATTCTGGATTAGATGGACAACTGGTCTGATCCAGCAGGGCTCCTCTTATGTTCTTAAGATGCCAGACTAGATGGACAACTGGTCTGTTCCAGCAGGGCTCCTCTTATGTTCTTAAGATACTGTACTAGATGGACAACTGGTCTGATCCAGCAGGGCTCCTCTTATGTTCTTGAGATACTGTACTAGATGGACAACTGGTCTGTTCCAGCAGGGCTCCTCTTATGTTCTTAAGATGCTGGACTAGATGGACAACTGGTCTGATCCAGCAGGGCTCCTCTTATGTTCTTAGGATTCTGGATTAGATGGACCATTGGCCTGATTCAGTAGGACTCTTCTTATGTTCTTAGGATGCTGTACTAGATGGACCATTGGCCTGATCCAGCACGGCTCTTCTTATGTTCTTCTTGTGAGAGAGGGACTTGCCCGTGGTCACCTGGTGACTATTACGGCCAACTGGATTTAAACCTTAGCCTTTCTGATGCAGTGCTTTAACCATGCACCACGCTGTTGCGATGGGGGCATTTCCAAGCACAAAGATGGACAGATAGCGGAAGCTTCGCCTGTTACTCTTTTTAAAATCGCCGTACAGTTTTTTGATCATCATGCAGTTTTTAGAGGCGCAAAGAGCCCTGCCAAGAACAAAGAGAAAGATGCCTAAAGAAGGCAGAGGCTCAGCCAGCTAAAAATGGGGGAGGTGTGACTGTCACCCGCCCAACTGTACAGCTGCAGCCTTGCGTTAGGACTACATTTCAACAGGCATATCACCGCTGCCGCCGCCACTGCCATTTTGTGAGTGCATCATTGTTCTATAAATGAAGTCTGTGTAGGTCGTGAGTGACCCGATCCGAAATCCAGTGCTGGGGGAGTCGCGAAGGGCACCATGGGTGTGGTGCCATTCAAGTGCAGGCAGGCAGTGAGCCAGACTGAGAGCAAAGAAAGGATTTCAGCAAAGCATCTGGTTTCTTGCTGAGTTGCCATCTGCAGGCTCAGCCGGTGTCTTCACAGGCCACAGTGCTGCATGTAGAAATTCCCTAATGGGGAAGACAGTTTGGTTGCATTTGCACGTTCTTGAAAGAACAGCATCAGAAGCCCAGTTTTAGATGGTGCTTGTTTGTTCGTTCAGGAGCTGCGGTGGCTCAAGTGGTTAAGACGCTGGACTGCAGGCCAGAAGGTCGGTAGTTCGGCAGTTCGAGACCTGAGTGCTGCATGACGGAGTGAGCTCCCGTCTCCGGCCCCAGCTCCTGCCAACCTAACAGCTAAGAAATTGCAAGAAGATACCTTCGGTGGGAAGGTAACAGCGTTCCGTGCGCCTCGGCGTTTAGTCATGCCAGCCACATGACCACGGAAACATCTTCGGACAGCGCTGGCTCTTCGGCTTGGAAACGGAGATGAGCACCGCAACCGTCGAGTCGGATTCGACTGGCTTTCGAGCAAGGGAAACCTTTACCTTTACTGTTCGTTCAGTGGAACAATGAGGCCGCGGAGGGGAGAAGGGCGATTGTTCATCTCCTGGCCCCCAAAATTGTCAGAGTCTGTGACACAGCTCAGCTCTCAAAACTGAGCAGGTCCAGCTGGGCGAGATACCTCAGATGAGAGATCGCTTGGGTGCCAGATATAAGGAACTCTGAGCGGCTCAGATGGAGAGCAAAAAATGTCCTAAATCAGCAAAAAAATAAATAAAAATCCCAAGCTCTGCTATGAAAGGAGCTTTGATTTCTGTGCAAAAATAGGCTTGCGTTGATGGTTTGTTTGCAATATAAAATGAGCAGTTTTTCAAGGGTATTGACGGCTGTGCAGGTGGCGGTGCCCCTCATTACTTAGGCTCCTAGCCACGGTTGGCACAGGCGCCAAACTTGGTTGGATTTCTGGGGCTGATGAGAAAAGATCCGACCGGGTAGCTTGTGCAAAACCACAGTTCCCATCCAGCCCTTCTCCATAACTACTCTAAGAGCCACTCGTTCTGTCTGAAGAAGTGGACTGTAGACCACAAAAGCTTATTCTGGAATGAAATTCTGATCGCCTTCAAGACTCCTGTGAGGTGTGTTAGGTTGAGCCAAAATGTCCTAATGGTTAGAGTGTCGGACTAGGATCTGGGAGACCTGAGTTCGAATCCCTGCTCTGCCCCGGAAGCTCGCTGGGTGACCTTGGACCAGTCACACTCTCGGCCTAACCTACCTCACAGGGTTGTTGTGAGCAGGGGTCATTTGGGGGGGGACGCGGGGGGACGCCATCCCCCGGGTGAGGTGCGGGAGGGCGGGGCCTGGAGCTCCCTGCTGGTGCCCGCTGGAGGTCGCTGCCGGCTGTGGGGAGGACACACTTCCGGTGATGTCAGGGGGTGTGGCATATGCTAATGAGTTATGCTAATGAGTCACCCTAGCTCTTTTTCTACGAAATGACCCCTGATTGTGAGGGCTAAAATGGAGGAGAGGAGAAAAAACTGGGTATCAATGAAATAAATAAAATTCCGTTCGTCTTTAAGGTGCCACTTGACTTCTATGAGGCACGTTAGCTGGAAGAAAACTACTGACCCAAGGTCAGCCAATGAACTTCTTCCTTGAATTGAACCTGGGTCTCCCAGGCACTGTTTGATGTACAGACATCACACCGGTTTTACAAAAAGCTCGAAGAGAGATGGTGCCAATTTCCTCTCATGGAGGAAGAGAATTCTGCAGTCTCGGAGCCATCACCAAGAAGGCCCTGTCTTATATCTATCTGTCTGTCTGTCTGTGTCTGTATGTATGTATGTCTGTGTGTGTATATATATGTGTGTGTGTGTGTGTGTATCCACATTTATTTATTTATTAAAATGTTTAAATCACACCTTTCCTCTTGATTTAAAGCAGCTTATAATAATAGTGAAAAATATTTTCAGTTAAAAACAAAATAAAACAGCAAACCCCAAATCTATCCCCCCACACACCGGTTTACAAAAAGCTCCAAGAGAGATGGTGCCAATTTCCCCTCATGGCGGAAGAGAATTCTGCAGTCTCGGAGCCACCACCAAGAAGACCCTGTCCTATATCTATCTGTCGGTCTGTCTGTCTGTCTGTGTATATATGTGTGTGTGTGTCCACATTTATTTTATTTATTAAAAACGTTTCCATCACACCTTTCCTCTTGGTTCAAAGCAGCTGATAATAATAGTGAAAAACATTTTCAGTTAAAATAAAAATAAAACAGCAAACCCCAAATCTATCCCCACCCCACTCCTGCTGTTCAAACCCTCTCAAAAGCCGTGGCAGACAGGCAAGCCTCATAGCACCTCCTGAAGATTTCTAAGGAGGGGACTCCCCTTACCTCCTGCGGGAGGTCATGCCAGCAAGTAGGAGCCATGATGGAAATGGCCTGGGCTCTAGCTGATGCCAGACGGACCACCCTAAGTGGTAAGACAGGCAACAGATGGTTGCCCGCTGACTATAGCTGGCATCCAGGGACGTATGGAAAGAGACAGTCCTTCAAAGTCCCAGTGAGTCCCAGATTATGAAGGGCTTCAAAGGTCATAACCAGCACCTTGAGAGCCAGTTTGGTGTAGTGGTTAGGAGCGTGGACTCTAACCTGGGAGAACCAGATTCCCACCCCTCCACGTGCAACTGCTGGCGTGACCTTGGGTCAGTTACAAGTTCTTTCAGAGCTGTTCTCTCAGAAGCAGTCTGTAATGATTCCTTGTTTTATGTGTGTGTGTGTCTCTTTAAAAGTTTGGTTGTATGGCGGTGGTAAGTAGACTAGAGTAGTTGAGAGAGGCAAGCGTGGTATGATTGGTGGTTGACAGAGAGGGGGAGGGGTTTTGGAAGTGAGAGTGAGTGGATGTCTGTATGTCAGTCGGGTTTTACAGTTACAGGTTGACAGTTGATAAGTTCAGTTAATTCTGTGCGGGGAATGAGAGAGACAAGCAGTTAGTTCTGTATGTGAGGGAAGTGAGAAACGGAAGGAAGGCTGAGAGAATAGAAAAAGTAAATGAAAGTAATTGAAGACAAAGTTTAGGAAAGGCTGTATGTCCTGGAGAGAAACAGTGAACTTACATGACCTTGAGTTAGTGTTACAAAGTAACCTGAAAGATCCCTGTCAGTAAGGGAGCAGATTGTGTGTGATACACCAAGCAATTGTTCATTTATACACATCAATAGTTACCTTGTTCTACCCTTTTATTTATGAATTATTTCAATAAATCCTCTTTTATTCAAGTATACCAGCTCTGAAAGAAATACTTCCTTAGGACCACATAGTTCCTCATAAGCCTTGTACTCGGTCTACCTAACCAGCAAGAGCAGAAGGAAAAGTATAAAGGTTTGGAAAGCCTTAAATTTCCTGGTGGCAGCTGTATATACATAGTAGAATAAAATAAAGAACATTTTTAAAGGGAAACCAGTCCTCCAGAATAAGGAGGTCGTCACACAGTCCTTGAAAGAACTCTCTCAGCCCCATCTAACGCACAGGGTGTCTGTTGTGGGGAGGGGAAGGGAAAGGAGATTGTAAGCCTGTCTGAGACTCCTTCAGGTAGTGAAGGGCAGGGTATAAATCTAATCTCCCCTCCCCCTCCTCCCCCTCCTCCTTCTCCTCCTCTCCTAAACAGACTGGCAGCCAATATAACTGTTTCAAAATGGAGGTGGATCCAAGTGGGTAGCCATGTTAGTCTGTCTGTAGCAGCAGAGAAGAGCAAAAGTCCAGTAGCACCTTAAAGATGAACAAAATTTGTGGCAGGGGATGATGAGCTTTCGCGAGTCACCGCTAGCTTCTGCGTATGCAATGTTCGCGCCAGGGAATCTCAGTGTGTGGGTATCAAAAAGAGCCGTTGAACGTTTTTCATTGCTCATATGTTGGCGGTAGCGTGTATTTTTGGGGAAGGGGGTTAATTCTGTGCCAGACCCGAACAAAAAGAACAGATGTTAAAACATCTCCCATGGTTCTGTTCCTTCCAGATGCAACCTCCCGCCTCTCTCCAGTCGATACAGCCAGGACGTCGGGTCCAAGACTCAGCTGGTCACGGCAAACCCCAGCATCATTCAGAAAAGGTAAGAAGCAGAAAAGGGTTGTTTTGGAGACAGAGATGGCTCGCCAGGCCCTGGGAAATAGTGCCCATTGTTTACAGGCCTGGTGTTGGAACGGCAGAATTTATAACCTTAGCAGGGGCAAGCCCTGGAACTGCAAAGCAGACTGAAATCGACAACTGGTATAAATCTTAGCGATGCTGGACCACATTTCAGCAGTCATGTGCTGTTCCTGCAATAGAGAGTTGGGCAGAAAAGTGACACATTTATGGAAGGAGGAGTGTGGTGATGGAGGCAGGAGCCCAGGGGAAGCGCCGAAACCACCTTCCCTCGAGTCTCGGCTTTTCCTCTTTTATAAACGGCAGCGGTTTTATTTTTAGCTCTTTCATCTCCTAAGATAGTGGGGCTGGTGCCGCTGTGACGAAGCCACCGTTCCGCGTTCCGTTTGTGCTTGGTTGTTATATTTTAATTGTATGTTTTGAGGTGGCGCTGAGGTATTAAAAAACCCAGTGCAAATGGCAATTTAAATTTAAACCCAGGGTCCTTCTTTGTTAAAACGTTAAAAAAGGAGAAGGGATTTTCAGCTGAGTTGTTATCTAGGCTTGATGGAGGGCGCTTGTCTGTTTGCCGCCTCCCTCTTGATGCTCCTGCTTAGTGTAGCGGTTTGGAGCGCGGGCTCTAATCTGGGAGAACCGGGTTTGATTCCCCACTCCTCCGCATGCAGCTGCTGGCGTGACCTTGGGTCAGTCACAAGTTCTCTCAGAGCTGTTCTCTCAAGGGCAGTTCTCGAGAGAGAGCTCTCAGCCCCACCTACCTCCTCCTCCTCCTTCTGGTTTTTGTGTTCATGCACACTTCCTCACATACCTGAAGAAGTGTGCATGCACACGAAAGTATCTGAAGAAGTGTGCATGCGCACAAAAGCTTATACCTTGAATAAAACTTTGTTGGTTTTAAAGGTGCCACTGGACTGTTCTACCACACTACACTGATTTGTAGTGAAGGAAATGACTGTCAGAGAAAAGAATCCAGACATTTATGCAGTCCTCCACATGCAGCTGCTGGTGAGACCTTGGGTCAGTCACAAGTTCTTTCAGAGCTGTTCTCTCAAGGGCAGTTCTCGAGAGAGAGCTCTCTCAGCCCCGCCTACCTCACAGGGTTTCTGTTGTCGGGAGGGGGAGGGGGAGGGGTTTGTAAGCTGCTTTGAGTCTCCCTTGGGTAGTGAAGGGCGGGGTATAAATCCAGTCTGCCGCTCTGAGACTCCTTTGGGTAGTAGAGGGCGGGGTATGAATCCAATCTCTTTTTCTTCTTGATGGGCTAGGGGAATCTGCAGAGAAGCAGCTGTCAGTTGGAGTGGATAAGAACATAAGAGAGAAGCCACTGTTGGATCAGGCCAATGGCCCATCCAGTCCAACTCTCTGTCACACAGTGGCCAAAAATACCAGGTGACATCAGGAGGTCCAGAGTGGGGGATGAAGCTGCCTTATACTGAATGAGGTCAGTATTATTCACTCAGACGGGCAGCGGCTCTCTAGGGTCTCAGGGGTCTTCCCCATCACCGACCACCTGATCCTTTCAGCTGGAGATGCTGGGGATCGAACCTGGGACCTCCTGCACGCCCAGCAGATGCCCTACCACTAAGCCCCACCCCCTTTCCTATACAGGGTTGTCAGGTCCTATCTTCTTCCCGGCAAGGGGATCTTTGGGCCTTGCCGGGCGCACGTGGTGCAGCGACATTACCTGGAAGTGACGTCATCATGTTGCAGCGACACTCTAGTTTTTGGGCAAAACTCTATGGCTTGAGCCCAAATTTACCAGAGAGTTTTGTCCAAGAACTAGAACATTGCCGCACGATGGCAGTGATGTGACGACATCACTTCCGGGTGACGCCATCGTGTCGCATTCTGGGGCATTTGCAGGTGGGGTCCCCCCTCCCCCCGCTGGCCAGCTGGCCCATAGCAAGGAGGAGCCCGCAAAAGTAAGGGAACCTCCGGGAGCTGGCGACCCCATCCCTATACGAACAGGACCTGAGGCTGGTATTCCCCAGCTGCCCTTTCATTGTTTCCCTCCCTTTGTTGAGGCAAACTGTAATTTAGCACTCCCCCCACCCCGGATCAAACCAAATATTATTTATTAATTAACTAATTATTTTATTTGATTTATACCCCGCCCTTCCGACCAAGGCAGGCTCAGGACGGCTTACGCAGTGCGTAAAACACAATTAGAATCCATCATAAAATTCATCATAACTGATCAACCGAAACAGATTGGTTATCCTAAAATCCATAAATCACTATCCTAAAGTCCTGGTAAAGGTAAAGGTTCCCTTGCTCGAAAGCCAGTCGAGTCCGACTCTAGGGTTGCGGTGCTCATCTCCGTTTCAAAGCCGAAGAGCCAGCGCTGTCCGAAGACGTTTCCGTGGTCATGTGGCCGGCGTGACTAAACACCAAGGCGCACGGAACGCTGTTACCATCCCACCGAAGTGTTACCTATTTATCTACTTGCAATTCCTTTCTTTCGAACTGCTAGGTTGTCAGGAGCTGGAATTAGAGATGGGAGCTCACTCCATCATGCAACACACGCGGGTCTCAAACTGCTGAACTACCGACCTTCCACAGCCTGCAGTTCAGCGCCTTAACTTTATTTATTTACAATAAAGTGCATGAGCAGGAATTTCAGATTGACCCATACTCCACGGGTGACAGTCATAATGATGTTCCCACACGCTCCGCTGATCTACTTCTTTGCCTAGCGAGGCGGGCTAGAGATGGAAAAGCCATGGCACAGGGTCTCTTCTCGAAAGCTTGGCGGAAGAGCTCCGTCTTGCAGGCCCTGCAGAACTGTAAGAGGTCCCGCAGGGCCCTGATCTCTTCCGGGAGCTCATTCCACCAGGGCGGAGCCGCTACTGAGAAGGCCCTGGCCCTGGTTGTCACCAACCTGGCGTCCTTGGGGACCTGTGTGTTTGCTGTCCAAACCAGAATTGGAAAGCATGAAAGCAAAGCAGAAGTTTTGGGCTTGGAAGTAACAGCAGACTGTAGCTTGACTTGAAATAGGAAGGGGATTGCAGGGAAAGGAGAGGAGCGTATGAGACCGCGGATTGCCGTGTGTAATGGCAAACCAGGGGCTTGCTGTTCCATTTGAGCAAAGGCATACTTGAAAGGGTTTGGAATTTCCAAAGGAAGAAGAAGAAGAGGAAGAGATTGGATTTATACCCCGCCCTTCACTACCCAAAGGAGTCTCAGAGCGGGTTACAAACTCCCTTCCCTTCCCCTCCCCACAACAGACACCCTGTGAGGTAGGTGGGGCTGAGAGAGCTCTTGACAGAAACTGCTCTTTTTCAAGAACAGCTGTGCCAGAGTTATGGCTTACCCAAGGTCGTCCAGCCAGGTGCAAGTGGAGGAGTGGGGAATCAAACCCGGTTCTCCCAGATTAGAGTCCGCGCACTTAACCACTACACCAAACTGGCTCTCGTGGTGGCTGCAAAGGAGGGCTAGAACCAAGATGATGGTTCTGTTTTGCTCTCCTTGACCACACAGCTGCCGTCTGTAACGCTCTTTCATTCTATTTTAAATTTTATTTTATTTACTTCATTTATACCCCGCCCAACAGGGACAAAGCAGCTTACACCGTCCTCTCGTCGTCCTTTCCCTCAGAAAGCTATGGAAATCATGTAGCCGGAAACTTCCAGGTCTCTTTGGTGGGATTGGATTTCCTTTACAGTAGAGGCTTGTCTTTCGGCACCAGTTAATCATGAGCTGCTGAATCGGAGCCCAAGGTAAAATTTGGCTGCTCTCTGCCAAGTGAATCCCCGCCCCCAGCAAGATTAATTACTCAGTTTAGCCAAAGATGACTCAGTTTCATTAAATCTAGAGTGCTATATTAGCTTTCAAAATATAGGTTATTGCAGTTATTATTCATAGGGATATCAATTTGCATGGTGCTTTGTAGAACACAAAACACACCTCTCTGCACCAAGGAACTGTAACCACCAGTGGCCTGCCTTGTTGTTGGGGGGAAATTAGCTATGAGGCAGAGGAGGCAGGGACCGCACACCAGTGTTCCCTCTAAGCTGAGTTAGTGTGAGCTAGCTCACAGTTTTTTTAGCCTCCAGCTCACACATTTTTGTCTTGGCTCAGGAAGGACGGCTCCAGAGCAAGCTAACTGATGCAGTGGCCAACTTGCTCGCTCACAACTTTAAGGCCGGCAGCTCACAAAGTAGAATTTTTGCTCACAAGACTCCACAGCTTAGAGGGAACATTGCCACACACCTGTGTATATCAGGGTCCAGTCCGGTAGGAAGACTCCAGATTTGAAGAGTGATTCAAATAGTTTTTATTGAAGAATTTCCCTAATTACAAGCACACTAAGCATTTCAAGAAAGAGCACACCATTCAGAACTAAGAAAACAAAGGTGATGACAGCAAATAGTGCGATTAATTATGGGGGTTATACTACCTGATGTGCAGAAGTCCATGGAGAAGAGATTATGGCCCAAACAAAGTTTGGGGGTGAACTGCCAGTTGGCGTCCAGGCAGACACACAGTTGAGGCCATGTGCTTTGGTGGATATAGACATGGGAAAACAATGCGAGCCAATGGGAGGCCTGGAGGGGCTTGTCTCAGGTGAAGACAAAACATTTCCTGGACCAACAAGGGGTCCAAGGGGGTGTGACGCCAGCAGGAGTAAAACCTAGGTGTGACCAATGAGGTTACAGAGGGGCAGAGTCTGAATTCACAATAACGTTGATGCAATTAACCAGGTGCTGGATGGCTCTACTGGAGTAGGCTGACCACTGTGCTGGATGGCTCTACTGGAGCAGGTGACCACTGATGCTCCAACTGGGGAAGGTTGAATAGGTTCCCAGTCTTAAGCAAAAGGGGGAAATGGGTCCCTGATCAGCGTCAGGAAGGATCGTTGTTAATTTTAACACTTGATTGGTTTATCTCAGCATCCTGCGGGAGGGGGCGGGAAGGACAGGCGGGGAAACAAAGGATTTCCACATGGACATCGGTATCACAAATAGGGCTACGT